CCCCAAAACCCCAAAACCCCGCAAAGTTATTTGAGTTAAAAGTTGAAATTTATGTGAAATATAAATAAATAAAAGTTTAATATACTAAGCTATAGATTATAAATGAGTTCACCATCAAAGATTCAACAAGACTCACTGCTTCACTCTTCTCAGATCAGCAGCAATCCATTTAACTACAATAAGTTTGCTGATATGGAGAATGAATGGACCAATGAAGTTTTGATTGACTTTATTAAGCATAGATGCCATCATGAGCAAAAGAAACTTTAAGAAAGAGTAATATTCAAAATAATCTCGCATTTTATTATACTATGCATTATACTACCCCAATATGACTTCCTATTTATTGAAATATGTGCTAAATATTCTATTTATAGGAAGCTAACTTGATTCAAGAAAGAAACAGCATTAGAAGAACATTAAATGATCTCGAAGTGCTTCAAATCTCTAAAGAAGACAAAGTCTAAGATGTAAGTAGAAACATTTACAAAGATTTAACACTTTCATTGCAATTGATTAGTTATTAATAATCATCTATTACTACAGATCCTTAAGAAGAGAAATCAAGAGCAAGACCAAATTCTTAGATTGAAAAAGATGATTGAATCAAACACAGCCAAAATAAATGAGAAGAGATAGACACTTGAATAGAAGAAAGATCCAGTTAAGAAACTGCAAGAAGCTTTAGAGACTACAAAGAGAGAGGTCAATGAAAAAAACTTGAAGAAAGTCTATAATTACTTGGAGAAGAAAAACAACGATGCAGTAGTGTACGTGATGGAAGCTCTCATTGGATTAATGAGAGGTAGTAAGCGTGCTGACTCCATGTCAGTTGAACTCTACACCAAGACTCACGAGGGCTTTATGATGGGTTTAAATAGAATCGACATTACAAAGCTAAATGTTGACTACTGCCAAGAACATCTTGACAAGCTCAGAGACAGTTTTGATAGAATTCTAATCGAAGAAGAATTTAGCGTTTTCAGAACGTTCAGAAACATTCTTTCAAAGCTCTGTTTGCTTGCTATGCTTGGAAGCGACATAAATAAGCTTTAACAATAGATCCAAAAGAAGGAAATTGAAAATGAAAACAGTTTGAAATAGATAGATTAGAAGGAGTATTTATTGAAGACCATTGATGTTCATGAGTTTATCAAAGGAGATATTCAATACTTTGAAACTGAATAGGTTAAAATCTACAAGTAAAAAGAGGCACAACTAAATGAAGAGATTAAAAAAGTCTAGCTCTCATTGGAAAACTTTGAGGACAAATTTTTCGCAGATTTATGAACATACGTTTGCTAAAGGAAATAACTTGAAACTGATGCAAATTGAATTAAAACTAAATAATTTCAATACACTCTGACTCATATTGTTTTCAAGCAAATACTATGATAATCTAAGATCTTATTCATTTAAATTAATAAGATTATTAAATTTCTTATTAATGTCATCTCTTTAATTGCATGGGGTTTTGGGGTTTTGGGGTTTTGGGGAGA